CACTTTAAGACGCCATGAAAATTAATGCATCAATTTCCCTGTGTATCAATCAGCAGGTATATTATTTTTAGTCGATATAGGAGTACCGTACAGGACTCTACTCTACATGTCTCCTTCCCATGTCGTAAATACCTCACAAAAATACCTTAAAATATAGTTAGTGTCTAATATTTTGAAACGAAGTTCCTTAGTTATGTTATATTAGATATCTACATATAATATACAAAACATCGTTTCTTATTGCCTGTTCCGTGTGACGTAAAGGAAAATCATTAGTATAGTAAATGGAAATCTTAAACATCACGTCTACACAGAGGCTAGGTTTACTTAACTACGTTGCGTCGATAAAATTCCAAGGTTTTTAAAGTTATCATGACAATGAGTAGGTATAGGTAGGTACCTAGTCAGTTTAAGTATTTCAAGTATTTGAGATAATAATTGAGTATTCAATGTAAGTAGGTACTCACGTGTGATGAGACGCCCGGCTGCCCACAGCTCGTGAGCTTCTTCTTGATCTCTTCTAACTCCACCTTTTTACTTTTAGCCAAATCTTCCAGGAATTTCTGGTAGTCATCAATGCCAAGCTTCAGAGTCTTTAGTTTTTTGAAATGAATCGCGGTATCTGTTGTAGTGATTTTCTTTCCATCAATTACCTTTGCTTGCTTCATCCATTTGTCGCTTTGTGACAATGTTATCGTTTTACCATCCGATTTTGGATCCCCAAATTTAGAAAAAGCTTTGAACGCATCCTGAGAAAGTAATGTTCTGATTACCTTTTGAGCGCCAATGTCACATATACGCGACAAGCGAAAACTGTCCCTGGACGTCAACGACACAAATACATGACAGAAAAAGCGGAACCAGAAACACGAATTATTGGAATCCCTATTGTTGATACAATAGGGATTCCAATAATTCCTATTTCTTTCGTAGAAATTTGCGTGGAATTTGTGGCTTGGTGTCGAAGGCAGGTTCATGTGTTTTTGCTCTGGCGTTCAAAAGGTTAATAAGAAAAGAGAAAACCACAAGAATTAAAAATAATTCTACTTAGGTAGGTACCCATTTGTTCGGATATATTTTTCTTTGATTAGGTATACCTTTAGAGAGATGGCCCCTTCAGCTTTGTTGCCCGTTCCATTGACTGCACCAGGAGCGGACCCGTTCTCCAGCTTGACGTCCTTCACTTCCTGTGTCACCTGTTCGACCGCAGCGTCTGCACTCGCGCCTTCAGACATCTTTGATTATTTACTGAAATCACAAACAATAATTTTGAACTATCGGTATGATAGGGTAGGCCACGGTGATGGCTGACGGTTTGCTCGCCTTCCTGCATTTCCTGTGACGACGCATTTCCTGTAACGACGTAACTAATTTTATTTATACTTCAATAAATATTCAAAAACATTTCAGTATTAGATTTGGTAGGTTGCTATACCTATGGATTGAGAATATTGGTTGTTGTTTCATGGTAATCTGTCAAAATTAGGCACCTTTTTTGGCCCCAAAGTGGAAAATCCACTTGGAGCCCCCTAGTTCGCCTCGTAAGGACAAAAATTACTATCAGACTTACTGACTAAAAACCACCCCAGTATCCCGGAACCAATTTCGACTAAAAATATTAGTGGATAGTGAGTATAGCTCTCGTAATTAGGTAGCTACTTAGAACTACATTACCATAAAAATATATTTTCATAGTCTTTTTGTTGCCTACGCTATTAAAAATAAACTAAGTATTAAATGAATATTAATCGTTACCTAATCAAAACTTATACCAGTTGAGGACAAATGGGGGATGATGTCATATACCTCTAGAAACATGTAACGTACAGCTGTCTCCTATCGCAGCATATCGTAGGATAACGCGACTCGTAGTGGCACACGTTCGAGTGCTAAATGCGGCAATTACATCACTGACCTTGTCGACGAAACGATTTGCCGGCAACTTGCTGTAAACATCAGCTGAGATTCCAAACTTGCATTAGGTATGTAAGTGCTTTAATAAACTGGTTGCTTCCTACGTCTCTTCAGGACGGTAGGTAATACAAATAAAAGTATATTACCTAGCCGTTTTATTCAAATAAGGAAATGACTTAATGCTCGATTTGGGACTTTGGCCTTGATGTCCAGTCTAATCCTGAAGACAATGTGGATATAAACATGAATGTATTAATCAAAGCTTGACAAGCTTGTGGGGGCTCAAGAGGAACAATATGCTATTACACCTCCGCTGATTTGTCGCTGTGGGTGCCCTCACATATTATATCTAGACTAAATGATCTGACCCACAAATAGTAGAGATCAAGGTTCATCATAAAATATTGCATGTTCGTTCCAGAAGTTGATGAATCAATTACAATGAATAAAGGTAGATCCTGTGACCTATGAGAATCAATCGTAATTAATACCGTGATGATGAATTAATGGCGTGACGTTTTTATGGTGAACAGATAGGCAAGCTGGGTATAGGTAAAGATTTCTTTCTTGTTGTGCCAACCAAAACATGCTAAACCATCAGCACTACCAGTTGAAACAACTTTAATGCTTCAAGGGTTCAGAAAATAGTCTACCTATATATAGACGTAAAATAATGCCCTTGCCTGGTATAAGTTATATTGTATTGTTGAATAGAACCTTTGTTGAAATGTTGAAAAGTCGCAATGCGCATTTGTACCTACTTACACACCTAACAAGGACAAGAGTTGTCTATTTTTGAAAGTAATATTTTAATGTTATGGCGACAAATTTAACTAATGACGAATATTTGCAAAGCAAACTATTTGAATAATAATGCCTAATTATTTTCTCTGCAGATACCTACCTGCGGTTCCAAAGGAATATAGCATAGTTAGGTACATACTTTGAAACGTAGAGCACACGCATCTCCGTTATAGATAGGTATACCACCCATACATACAATGGAGTTCAACGGCATGGTGGCACCTCTCCGACCTACTTCTTGCTTTAACCCATATTTTATACAATTCCGGACGTAGCTCTCAGCTTCATGTGCGCCGGTCCGTTTACACTAAGCTCATAGTACCACTTCACCGTCATATTCATGCACTAAATAGAGTAGTGGCATTTACAATTGCAACTGCATGCAATTATCTCGGAAATTCACCGTAATCATTTGATTACTCCTTGATAAAATATCTACACTTGTATTATATGATCTTATCTAATCAAGGTCAGGATAAAAAGTAATAAGTAGGT